CAATAATCACAAAATTAGGAATTGACACTCTAGGCTTGAATTGTAGTACATTTATAAACTTTGTTTCATTAATAATATTAACAATTTAAATCATTACATAGTTAAATAGTTACAATAATATGTTTATGAGATAAATAAAAACTTCAAATGTTTTTTTCTCTACTTTATAGTACTAAAGCTTCTTTATATACAATATTGCGTGTATAAACCCCATCCTTGTCTTGTATTGATCCATTTCTGACAGAAACATAGAGATTATGCCTTTGGCATACCCTTGACATAGCTACATACAGTTGACCATGAGAAAATACTGGTTGTGGAAGGTATAGACCAATATGAGGTAGTGTTTGACCCTGGGATTTATTTATGGTCAATGCAAATGCTGGATGCACAGGAAATTGTTTTCTTTGTAATACAAAAGGTAATCCAGTATCTTCAGATGATAGGAGAGGAATTCTAGATATGAATACATGCTTTCCTTGATGATCCCCTGTTATTATTTCAGCTTCAATTATTCTTGTCCAGAGTTTCCAGCAGATAAGCCTTGTCCCATTGCAAAGTCCATTAATAGGATCTAAATTTCTAAGTAACATGATAGGAGCACCAACTTTTAGAGTGAGTTCATGTGGAGGAAGGCCTTGAGGTGTTAGGGAATTAAGATATTCAACTGGATATAGATTTAAGTTATCTTCTGGCACTGAGTCAAAGCTATAGTATGTATACTGTTTTCCAGGATATTTTGTCATAACTTGTTCATTAATTTCATCAACATTGGTGTTTAAAGGAGTCAATATTGCTCTTTCTGTTACAAAGGTAATGTTGGCAGCATTTTTAGTGAGATTAGGATATACAGTATCTATTAATGAGTCAATAGGATCTTTGCCATTTTCTGGGTGAACAATCAACTCATCAGGAAGTTGAATCAAGTTGTTTTCTATTGTAGGTTCAGTACCATTACCTATTCTGAGCAAGTACTCTGCAAATGCCTTTGCCTCAAAGTTGGTAGTTTGAGCAACTCGCATGTTGGCTGTCAAAGTGAAAACATGAACATAATGCCACAGATATGACTTGTTGAGAGCAGCATTGACAATCTGGGCTCTTGTGCCTTTGCGAACTACAGGAAGAACTTGACGGAAGTCTCCCCCAAACAAAAATATTTTACCACCAAATGGAAGATCATTTTCCATAATGTCTCTTAATGTTCTGTCAACAGCTTCAGGAACATAGCGATGTGTCATTGGAGCTTCATCCCAAATAACCAGAATAGTTTCTTGAAGTAATTTAGCCAGATCAGTACCCTTTTTGATGTTACAGGTTGCATTTTCATTTGTTGGAATTGGTACCTTGAAGCGAGAATGTGCTGTGCGTCCACCATGCAATAATAATGATGCAATACCAGAAGAAGCTACTGCCAATGCAATCCTATTATTAGCTCGTACATAGGCAAGGAGGCAATCATAGAGATAGGTTTTTCCACTTCCAGCAGGACCATCAACAAACAATACACCTCCTTTGTTTTGGTTTATGAGATTCTGTATTTCAACAAATACTGCATGTTGGGCTTCATTTAATGTATTTGCTTTTGCAAGATCATTTGAGGTGACATGATAGGATAATTCTTCTAGAAGAGTTTTTGGCAATTCCAAAACATTTGTTTCTGGTGATAATTCTGGTAGGTCATAATCAGCTACAGTCTTTGAATGCCTTTGTAGGAACATATTCAAGTTTTGAAGAACTGCCTGAACTTGGAGTTCACCTTCTGGGATTCCATTATGTGCAAAATCTTCTGCCATTGCATCAAGGTTCTCAGTCCATAGTTGATGTACATCTGAAACATTTCCAAAGACTAATAATGTTGCAAAAAGATCACATAGTTGGCTAGGCATCTGGAATTCTCTAGCTTCAGCCATACATTGTTGATATTCATTGTCATTTTCTAGGAAACCCCTCCGTTGAGCACTCTCTTTAAAAGTGGCACAAGTAACACCATCTACAATCTTAAGTTCTTCAAAACTCCTGGCTCCTTTCACCTTTGTTAACAGTAAACGAAGATAATATCGCTCACCCTCACTTGGATGAGCCATGTATATTCTTCCAATGCAACCTCCACGCTGACGTTTCTTCCATGATTTGGTTGCCTTATTCCATGTGTAATACATGGGAAAATCAGAATAGAGCAAGTTCCTTGCATCTGGATCTTGATTGTTCATTTTAAAGTATTCAGTGAGTGATGTTTGTTGAATTCGACTGGTTGCAACTACTTCTGCTAAATTAACATCTTCATTGAAAATAACTCTTTGTTGATTGGGAAGATGTACCTGCAAACGTGTGACAGCAGGATTTATTCCACTCATATCAAATCCCAGGATCCTCCAGACAGCTTCTGAAGCTGAAACCCAGCGGGCCTCAACAAAATCTCGAATCTCATCAATTACAACTGGCTGATTTTGTATTTCAATCATTGCTCTATCATGACCCTTATAAACATACTTAAATAAATATTTTATTGCCTTGATGCTGGCACAGATTTCTACATTGATATGACAATTGTATTTTGCACAAAGGAATTTATTGTAAGGGACAATCCATCGATTATCCAACAGGATTTCTTGATTTCTTACTCTTACTTTAACATAATGATCATTTTGTCTGCGACGGTATGCAGGGTAGAAGTCTTCTCCTTGAAGAGTTTCATCCCTAAATTGCTTAGGATATCCTTTGGAACATCGTTTGTGCCCTGTACCATCATCAACCATGCATGGTGAATTGGGATTAAGCTCTCCACATGGTCCATGGAACATGTTGGTAACAACTGTGGCATGCACATTGGGATTGACTACTGGATCAGGTATTTCAGCACAGACAATACTATCATAGTCATCAGGAGTTTGTGGTTTATCTTCTGGGTGGAGTATAACCAAAATGTGTGCATGTGGAAGACCCCGTTTCTGAAACTCAATGACATGTATGTATGCAATGACTTGTCCAAGGACTCCACATTCAAAAATATCTTTCTTTAACTCTTGAAATTTCTCTCGAAAAATCTGTGCTATGATTATAATGAAAAGCAAAAAGAATTCATTAATGTGATGTTATGAATTAGCCAAGTAATAATATGATAAAAAAAGTACCTGTGATATCTGGTCGATCTTGAGCCCTTTGTCCAGGTTGCAACAGAATTTGAATTTCCTGCCAGTTTGGGTTGCATGTCATGGTTATGAATAAATCAGGTCTACCAATGTGCGTCAAGGCCATTGCATCTTGATATCTCTGCATCATGTCACGAGGACTCCCAATGAACACAGAAGGGAGTAGGATTCTCTGACCTATGTGTTGTGGATTATTGTCACCATGCAAGACTGCATCTTGAAGACCTTGGTACAGGTCACTTCGGATTTTTATTTGGTTCTGTCGATGAAAGTTTAAACGATCTGATTCAATTTTGACATACATATCAACTACATACTGTTGGAAAAGCCGTCCTGCTTGTAAAAGCAGATTGGTGGAATTGGGCCGAATCTGAAGTCGATATGCATAGTACTCCATTGTACTCACAAATTTCCTATGTCGTATTCCAGTATTATCATGCTCATGTTCCATGTTGTGTTTATTTTCATCATTAGGATTTTCATCAATATCCATCATTTCAGGGGCAGAAAGAATGTCTCTGTATGGAATTTGATTAGGAGCCCATCCCTGTTCACCATGTGGAAACAAAAGTGGATAAGCCAAGGGATCATAGCATCCATTAAGCTCAGAGATGTGAATAAGCTGATCCATCTGTGTATACAATACAATATCACGTTTCTGAACCACATTTTGGGGAATGTCATCATTAATCCAGATTGCTGCTACTTGGGATGCTGTTGGGGCATTGTGAGTCCTTTGATCAAGACCAGGAATATCAGCATGAATAACCATGGATAGATTACCAATATTTTCAGCAGGTAGATTAGAAATGTATCGAAAATTAGTAACATAGGGGTTTGTTTCATCAAGCATGTCCTTTAAAGATTGTAAAATAGTTGAGTTAAGGTTGGAATTAGGAACAACATTTGCTCGATGGTGCAGTTCATGTTGAGTATCCCAAACATACATCTGCAAATAGTGAGGTTGAGATCCAGGTTCTGGTAGTAGTTGTCCAATTCTGTGATAGAATGAACCTTGAACACGAAAAGTGTAAACACCAGTATTTGCATTAGCAAGTTCATGATCAAACCTGACACCAACAGAAGTGAATGTGAATGCTGAATTGTAAAGATGAATATTATCCCGGAAGTGCTTGGCAATGTTGTCCTGACCAGAAAAGAGATTCTGTAGAAGCAATGGGACATTGGGTTCTGCTAATATCACTTTTCCATTGGAGCAACACATTCCAAGACTTTCTCTAGGAAACTTGAATGCATTGCAATGACTACATGTATTACTGCTAGTGACATTAATTTGATGTAAAATGGATACATTTGCATTTTCAGAAAAGTCCCGAGCAAAGTTATGCAGCTGAGGATTGTTGATGCGCTGCTGATGATGAGCTTTAGCATCTTGTTGGTGCCGTTTCTGATGCTGTTCATCAGTTTCCTTGCCTCTGTTTCTGCGTTATCTATCAGCATCAGCTTCTTTTTGTTCTTTTTCAGTAAGATATTGTACTCCACGTGGCATTGTATCTATTATATATCTAAAAGTAATTATAGTAGTATAGATATAGATGGAAAATTTAGCAGTATCAAGGGTGTATATAGTTTAGTAAAGAAAAAAGATTTATTGATATAAGATTATTATCTGTTTAATTTTTTTTGCTATATAGTAGTAGTTATAATTAAATTTGGTTTTTTTAAGTTAAATTTTTGTTATAATTTTTTAATTTTTTTATAATCAAATTTGCTTTGGTTTATGTTATATAGTTTTTGTATATAGTATAGGTTTAATTTTCTTGTAATCAAAATTCACTTTTGTTTTATTTATTTATAGATTTAATTTTCATTATATATCTATATTTACTACTATTATAGTAAATTATAGTAAATTTAAAATTTTGATCATAAGATTATTATTATATTATAATATTATATAATATTAAAATTTTTGGGATCATAAGATTATTATTATTATATTATAATATTATATAATATTATAATTTTTATATTATTATAATTTTTTCTTTTGAAAATTGAAATCGCGTTTTTAAATTCAACCAATCAAATCACTTTTAAAACGGACAAACTAATCAAATCATTTCTAAAACAGAAAGATGATAA